CAAGTGGGATTTTTCCAGGGATGCAAGGCTGGTTCGTTATCCTCAAATCAATAAATGTTATATCACATAAACAAATTGAGAGACAAAAATCACATAATCATATCAATTGGTACATAAAAGGCATTTGAAAAAATTCACACCCTTTTCTAATAAAAACGCTCAGCAAAGTGGGAATAGAGGGATAATACCTCAACATAATAAAAGCCTTATATGACAAACCTACAGAGAACATTATACTCAATGGGCAAAAACTAAAACTGTTTCCCCAAAGAAGGAACAAGACAGGGATGGCTGCTTTCGCCACTCTTGTTCAATATAGTGCTGGAATTGTTAGCCACGGCGGTAAGAGAAGAAGTAGAAATGAAAGGCACCAAATTGGAAAAGAAGGAATAAAATTGTCATTATTCACAGATGACATGATACTGTACATAGAAAATCCTAAAGACTACATCAAAAATTATTAGACTTAATAAAGGAATTCGGCAAAGTAGCAGGATACAAAATTAATGCAAAGAAACCTATTGCATTTTTATACACCAATAATGAACTTACAGAAAGAGATTTTTTAAAAAATCCCATTTACCATCGCAACAAAAAAATTAAGATACCTAGGAATAAAATTAACTTAGGAGGTAAAATATCTATACTTAGAAAACTACAGGACATTGAAAAAAGAGATAAAGGAAGACATAAACAGATGGAAGAACATACCATCTTCATGGACTGGTAGAATCAACATCATTAAAATGTCCATGCTACCCAAAGCAATCTATAGATTCAATGCAATCCCCGTTAAAATACCAATGGCATATTTCATAGACCTAGAACAAACTCTCCAAAAATTCATCTGGAATATAAAAAGACCCAGAATAGCTGCAGCAATCCTGAGGAAGAAGAACAACGTAAGAGGGATCTGAACAACAGATATCAAGCTATATTACAAAGCCACTGTTCTCAAAACTGCCTGGTTCTGGCACAAAAACAGACATATAGACCAATGAAATAGAACAGAGAACCCAGAAATCAACCGAAACCACTATGCTCAATTAATATTTGACAAAGGAAGCAAGATCATACAATGGAGTCAAGACAGTCTCTTCAATAAATTGTGTTGGGAAAATTGGACAGACACATGCAAAAAATAATGAAACTAGACCACCAACTGACACCATACACAAAAATAAACTAAAAATGGATAAAGGACTTAAATGTAAGATGGGAAACCATAAAAATCTTAGAAGAAGCCATAGGCAACTAAATAGCAGACATCTGTTGAAGCAATATCTTTACTGATACAGCTCCTAGAGAAATGGAAACTAAACAGAAAATAAACAAATGGGACTACATCAAAGTAAAAAAGCTTTTGCACAGCAAAAGAAACCATCAACAAAATAACAATAAAGCCCACTTCATGGGAGAACATATTTGCCAACGTTTTATCTGATAAGGGTTTCATCTCCAGCGTTTACAGAGAACTTATACAACTTAACAAAAGAAAGATAAACAATCCAATAAAAAAGTGGGCAAAGGACCTAAATAGATACTTTTCGAAAGAGGACATACAGAAGGCCAAGAGACATATGAAAACATGATCAAAGTCACTAATCATCTGAGAGATGCAAATCAAAACAACAATGAGGTCACACCTGTCAGAATGGCTATCATCAACAAATCAACAAGTGACAAGTGCTGGTGAGGATGCGCACAAAAGGGAACCCTCATGCACTGCTGGTGGGAATGCATACTGGTGCAGCCACTGTGGAAAACAGTATAGCATTTTCTCAAAAATTAAAAATGGAACTACTATTTGACCCCGTGATCCCACTTCTAGGAATATATCACAAGAAAACAGAAACACCAATCAGAAAGGATATACGTACCCCTATGTTCATAGCAGCATAGTTTACAATAGCTAAGATTTGGAAACAGCCTAAGTACCCATCAGCAGATGAGTGGATGAAAAAACGGTGGTACATCTACACAATGGAGTACTATGCTGCTGTAAAAAAGAAGGAATCCTTACCATGAATGGAACTGGAAAACATTATGCTAAGCGAAATAAGCCAGTCACAGTAAGATAAATATCACATGATCTCACTCATTTGTGGAATATAATGAACAACATAAACTGATGAACAACTGATGAATAGAGCCAGAGTCATAGAAGAATTGAACAGACTGTCCAACCTATGAGGGAAGGGGTGAGGGGGTAAGAGATCAACCAATGGACTTACATGCATGCATATGAGCATAACCAATAGATACAGACAGTGGAGGGTGAGGGAATGTTCTGGGGGTGGTAGGGGGAGTGAGGGTAGCCAGGGAGAGGTCAGTGGGGGGAAAAGGAGACTTATGTAATACTTTAAAAAATAAAGAATTTAAATTAAACAAAAGAAAACATAAGAAAAAACCTTCATGACATTAGCTTTGACAATGATTTTTTTGGATACAAAAGTCCAGGTAACAAAAACCCCCATGCATATTGAAATTTATAAAAATTTAAAAACTGTATACTAAAAAGACACTATCAACAGAGTGAAAAGGCAACCTATAGAATGAGAAAAATATTTGCATATTACATATCTGATAAGGAATTACTATCTAAAATGTTAGATAACTCCTAAAACTCAAAAGCAAAATAAATAAATCCTATATAACAAAAGCATAATATGCTAAGTGTCTGACCATTCATTTGACCATTCCACCAGTCACTATGACACACACTGACCACCAGGGGGCAGATGCTCCGACTAATAGGTTAGCTTGCTGCTGGGGTCCAGCTGATCAGGAGTGGGCGAGACAGTTGGACACGCCCTGGAGCCCTCCCGTTATCCCTCCCCGGCTGGCCAACCTCCCGCAATCCCTCCCTGTCGGCCAGCCTGGATTGGGACTGGGCTAGGTGGACTCTTCCACGTCCCTCCCTGGCTCCAATTGGCCCCAATCAGGACTGGGTGAGACAGGCTGGACATGCCCTGGAGCCCTTCCATAATCCCTCCCTGACCAGCCAACCTTCCACAGTCCCTCCCCGGGTGGCCAGCCCCCATCGGCCCCAATCAGGACTAGGCAAGATGGCCCTGATCAATCTCAATCACCAGCCACGCCGAGGGACCCCACTGATGCATGAATTCGTGCACCGGGCCTCTAGTAAACAAACAAACAGCCTAATTAAAGATGGGAAGAAGACTTGAGAAAATATTTAACCAAAAAATATGTACAAATAGCCGATAGGCACATGGAAAAATTCTAAACTTTACTGATCATTAGGGAAATCCAAACCAAAACAACAGTGAGATACCTCCTCACACCCACTCATATGGTTACTATATATATATAAAAAAATACACAGAAAAGAAGTGTTGGCAAAGATGTGGAGAAATTAGAACCCATGTGCACTGTTGGTAATTTAGAATGATACAGCTACTGTGAAAAACATCATGGTGGTCCCTCAAAAATTTAAAAATAGAATTAACATATGATTCAGTAATTCCATTCTGTGTATACCCAAAATAATTGAAATCATGCCTCAAAGTCATATTTGCACACCAGGTAGAGGGGAAGATGGGTAGTTATTGTTTGATGGGTATTGCATTTCAGTTTTACAAGATAAAAAGAATTGATGTAGATGTAGTGATGGTTGCATAACATTATGAATGCATTTAATACCACTGAACTGTACACTTAAAATGGTTACTATGGTAAAATTTATTTTGTACATATTTTACCACAATAAAAAAATGAAGAAAAAGAAGACTGGAGACCCATACTGAACACAGCTAATGAGAACTTAATATTCACTGTCCATCCTCTTTTCCAATGTAAGTTTTTTCTCCATATATCTCCCTATTTATTTGATGTAAACTCTACTGTGCTTGCTCAGATATCCTAGTATTAACCGGCACACATCTAACCCCAGAATACTGTTCATTACTTTAAGTTCCATAGTTTTCTCCCATCTAATCTATTTTATTTTCTGGCTTCATTAAGTGACTAAAGCACCCAACAATGTTCCGCTGTTTCAATGCTGTACTTTAGGCCTTCTGGATACTTTCTCCAAGTCAGTTTCTAATCTTTGTTTTGCATCCCTCACTATAGCAAGCATATCTGCATGTTATGTCAAACTGTCCTTGTCCAAATATTGCCAGGAACTTGGGCAGTCTTACTCCTTTATATAGAGCCCTTCAGAAATGCACCTAGGGAAATATTTTAAAATGTGATCTTAATAACGGTACTACCAGAAGATATTCACTGAAAAAAAAAAAAAGGGTCTATAGTAAAGTATAAGAAATGCCACATACTCTATTCCCATCTTTGAGATTCATGATAAACAAAAATGAATCCAAAATCCGAGAAGCCCCGCAGCAAGGAACATGGTTTGACTATTTTTATGTGACTGTGCTTTACTTAGTATTTTGCAAACAAATTCAGACCCATAACCCTCTTGCACAAAACACTCATCTGTTGGTACTCACTTTGAGAGATGCTACTCTAGAGATGTCTCTCAGTTCCCCCACGCTCCAGTTTCTAAGCCCTCCCCAGTCTCATGCATCTAGTCAATTACCAATTTCATAAGTTAAGGATTCCTCACCCAGGATTCCAAGATGTTCATCTTCCTCCAGCTGTACCTTTTTCTGGAATGTTTCATCTTGGAAGGCTTCATATCTGACTTTCCAATAAGTTCCCCCAATTCGGCTGGAGCCCTTCTGGAAGAATATATCTGAGCCACTGGCATATAAGAAGACAAATATCACATGATTTAATAAAGTATCAAATAGACTCCTATATCACCCTTGGTCTCATCAAGTTATGGATCTTTATAATTAGGAAAGACCTCTGAGATCATCCAGATTAGCTTCTACCCAGTGGAAATGAAACCACTAACAAATAATATGCAGCTTCTGCTTTAGCCTTTCCAAGGTCAGGGAACTCATTTTCAGAGGAAGCAATCCTTCATACTGTTGGATAGCTTTAATGATTACAGTTACTTTTATAATAGTTTGAAATCTTCTTGCTTGTAAATTCCAGACACTAGTACTAGTCCTGCCTTCATGAATTCCATAAACTTACATCTATCCTTAATTATCTTTAGGTATTCAAGATTGTTTCTCTCCTTAATAAAGAATATCTTTAATTCCAAAGTGAAAAACCACTAACGTAGCAAGCCCAGTTAGAGATTCTAGAAGTCATGCTGAGACCCAAGTGCCCACTTTCCTATGTTTTCTGCACATTCATTCCATTAGTTTTTCTGCTAGGAAAAAAATGTTTATTTTTGCTGGAAAATAAACATTTTTCCAGTAAAAAATTAAGTGCCTTAGGGCATTCCCCCAAACTCTCCAAGTCATCTACCAAGTGGCTCTTCTGTGAAAGACCTGGTATCACTGATAGGCCAGTGAGTATGCATAACTTAGGGCCTAACAAGTGAATAGGGAACTAACCTGCTCTATTTTGCCCAATGTGAGTCATGGATGAAACAAGAGAATTTGAATAAATTCCTCCAAAAGTATGGTTATGGATGGCCATAAGGCAGGTTGCTTCCCCTTCTTCCTACATTTCTCAATGCTTTTTACACTCCTGTTTAAATGCCTCCTTCAGACTATTAAAAAGAAAAGAAGGTGAAAGGAGGTAAATAATGGACAAAATAAAGAAGAGCTGGAGAAATTACATTTCAACTGATCTGGTCCCATTGGGCCTCCTTTTCTGAATGTGGCTTGGTATTAGAGCAGGAACAATCGCAAACACTGCTAGTTCCCCAAGAGCAAGCTGTCCAGGGGTCAAAAGAATTTGGTTAACAGTTGTGTGATATTTACTCCAGTCAGACAATGATTGTGACCCCCAAGTGAAAGAGAGATTTCTGACAGTGAGTAGTAGTGTTTGGGGATAAAACCAGGAGTAGAAAGAAGAAGCCCACTACCTCTTACCTGCCTGGCTCCCTCAAATTCTTCCCAGTACTCCCATCATAACCCGTTGGGCCATAGTCCCATAGAATCTCATGAGCCTCAATGAAGTACTGCCGGACATTTCCTGTTAGTAGGTTCACAGGAGGGGCCATGGAGCAAGACTTGACATTGTAGAGTGCTTGCATGCCATCTGGAAGAAGAGGAAGAACATCATGTCTGGCCCCATTTCAACTAACAGGCCTTCTACCCAGACAATCCACCGTCCTCCTTCTCCTAAGGTCTCCCTTCCCACCTTCCAATAGGCTCTTTACCCCTAACTCCATGTGAGCCATTTTTCTCTCACTTCTTAAGAGCCTGGCTAGAGGAAAGTGAGCCCAAATAGGAATTCAAGTATCTCCACTTGCTCACCACCACTACCTCATTTCCCAGATGTTCACTCCTTTGCAAAAGGTTTACATTGCACAAATATCACAGAACTTGAAGTCCAAATACTTGAGAACAAGTCCAAGCCTAATTACTCTCTGTAGTACTTAGGCAAGTCAATTCCTAGATCTAAAATTAAACCCTGTTTTGTAAATGGGGAGAATAGGAAATCTGCCACACTGGGCTGGTGGGAGCATTAAAAAAAAAAAGGAGTAAGTAATTCGTAAAGAGGGGTTTTCCCGAAACACTGGAACATCTACACATTGAGATGAAGCTTCAGATTTAGGACTGTCATGAAAATGTAGTGTCTCCAAAATGTGAAAAATGTTACATTGAGGTATAGTGGTAATTGATTATATTGCCTTATATTTGCTTGGCATCTTATAGAGTTTATTCAGATCATTATTTCATTTGAGTCTCATAACATCCCAAGGAGATCTGAAATTATAAATTAGAAATCTGAGATATAAAAGAGGATGAGGAAAATATATTCATTTTTATTAGGTAATTACATAGGCCAGGACCTGTGCCAGGTGCTTTACATATGTTATTTCCTTCAATCCTCATAAGCACCCTGTGAAACAGACTTTTTTAAATATGTTTTTTAAATTGACTTCAGAGGGAGGATGGGAGAGAGAGAGAGAGAAAGAGAGAGAAACGTCAATGATGAGAGAGCATCATTGATTGGCTGCCTCCTGCATGCCTCCTGTTGGGGATGGAGCCCGCAACTCAGGCATGTGTCCTGACCGGGAATTGAACCATGACCTCCAGGTTCATGGGTTGACAGTCAACCACTGAGCCATACTGGCCAGGTTAAACAGCTTTTAATATCTCCTTTTGCACTTGGAAAAAATCTAAGGATCAGACAAGTTAAGTAACTTGTCAAGATAATACAGCTAGTCAGTGATAGAGTTGAGACTTAAACTCTTATCTTTTAACTGCAAATTTAAGTGCTCATTTTATTTTTTTATAGCCACTAGCTTGGTCTCAACATTCTCCTAGTCCAGTGATGGTGAACCTTTTGAGCTCGGCGTGTCAGCATTTTGAAAAACCCTAACTTAACTCTGGTGCCGTGTCACATATAGAAATTTTTTGATATTTGCAACCATAGTAAAACAAAGACTTATATTTTTGATATTTATTTTATATATTTAAATGCCATTTAACAAAGAAAAATCAACCAAAAAAATGAGTTCGAGTGTCACCTCTGACACGCGTGTCATATGTTCGCCATCACTGACCTAGTCTTTGAGATTCAAAATTACATTATCTCTCTAATATCCCATTACAACTTCATAAGGTAGAAATCATTACTGCAATAATCAGATAAGGGAACAGAGGCTCAGAGAAGTGACATTACTTACCAAAGCTAACTAAGCAACTGGTGGAACAGGGTTTGAATCCAGGCCTGTCTGGATCTAAGACCCTTGCTTGTTCTACTATTGTGCTGCATTCCTAACCTCTATCTGGATTCATACTCATTTACTCAGGCACTTTTGGAACCGAGGCCAAACCCTGGATAATAGAGCATGAATAACTGGCTCCTATTAGGAAAAAACCACCACCCCAGACTCATTACCTTACTAGTCTATAACTCCTTGCTTACTCAATCCATTTTCACATACTCACATATCACTTACCTGACATCCATCTAATTTACCATATATCAAATAATTCTAGAAAGTGAGAGCTGAAGAGGCATTTAGAGACTATTTAGACCAAATCTTCCATTTTATAAATGTGGCAAATGAGGCCTAGAAATGGAAAGGAACTTTCCCAAAGTTATTACAGTGAGTTTTTCATAGAGCTGAGACAACCACTAAAATCATCTAATCACTTATCTACTTCTCTTTCCATTGCCTCATGTGTTCCTCCTCTCTGATGGTCCTCAATGCACTGTGCCATTATTCAACCATTCTCCCTCTGAAAATCAAACCTTATACTCCTATTTCTGTTGGGTCCTAATTAGGGTGTCATCACCTGCCCACAATACTCCATAGTTTCCTGCAGAAACCTTATACTTTTAACACTAATCTCTCCTTTATTCCCTGTTCAATCATCTGCAAGACCTCCTGTTCTTAATTCCTTAGGACTTGGGGTGGGGGGAATGACAGCATAAAAGATCACTTAATCTCTTAACAGATGAAGAAGATGAAACCCAGAGAGATGTGCCTGAGGTCACCCTGCAAGTTAATGTCTGAGCCAGGAAAGAACATGGGTCCCAGAATTCTAGTCTAGTGTTTCATCTTCTATTCCTGGCTGTCTCACTTAAAAACCTCTCTTATGGTTCCAGACCAGAAGCCCAGCCCTGCCCCCCTTTTTTAATAGACATTTCTTTTTTTAAAAAAAATATTTTATTGACTTTTTACAGAGAGGAAAGGAGAGGGATAGAGAGTTAGAAACATTGATGAGAGAGAAACGTTGATCAGCTGCCTCCTGCACACTCCCTATTGGGTATGTGCCTGCAACCAAGGTACATGCCCTTGACCAGTATCGAAGCTGGGACCCTTGTGTCTGCAGGCTGACACTCTATCCACTGAGCCAAACTGGTTAGGGTCAGAAGCCCAGGCTCTTGATGACCATATTGCCCCCTTCATCCCATACCTTAAGGGTCAGAGATGCTGGATCTCACCTTGCAAGTGACTATTTACTTGACAGCTAATTAACCAAATGCCAAGTTTCTGAGGCACCATCTCAGCAGTCACAAAGGTGGCTGGAAAGATATGAGCCACATCAGTGCGGTGGCCCCGGATGGTTAGCATCTGTCCATGGAAGTAAGCTGTGTGGACATCTACTTCATTGCCCATGCCAAACAAGTGCCAGGCCACACGCTTCTGCGCACACATGTTCAGCTCTGGTAAGTTCCCAAATACAAAGCCATTGATTGCTGAAAAAGAAAATCCGAAGAAAAATATCAGAGTTAGGAAAGAATAGCCCAATGGGAAAAGCCTTACCATCTGACAATAATATGAAGTAACATTTAGATGAGGTTTTAGTTTTTAATTACATTTATTGGGGTGACATTGGCTTCATATAGGTTTCAAGTGCACATTTCTAGGATACATGATCTGCATATTGCATTGTGTTCCCACTAGCCAGAGTCAAATAATCTTCTGTCACCATATATTTGGTCCCTTTTACCCTTTACTACTCCTCAACTCTCTTCCTTCTGGTAACTACCATAGTGTTGTCTGTCTGAGCATCTTAGTTTCAATTTTATATCCCACATAATGAATTAAATCATATGGTTCTTAGCTTTTTGTGATTGACTTATTTTGCTTAGTGTAATATCCTCAAGGTCCATTGATGTTGTTGCAAATGGCAGTATTTCATCTTTTCTTATGGATGAGTAGTATCCCATAGTATATATGGTACATATAGATGAGGTTTTAAAGAGCACACCGTGCTGACAAAATGCATTATATCATTTAAATCTTACAAACAATCCTAGGAAATAGGCAAGTATCAATGGTCTCATAAAAAAAAAATGAGAAAAACCAAGGCTCAGAGAGGTAAAGTTGCTCTCTCCCAAGGCAAGTGGTAGAGCCAAGGTTCAAATGCTACAACTCAAGGAAGCTTTTTAAGGAATGTGATTTATTTTGTAAGCTATTCTTTCCTCCCAGGCCAATTTTCTTCTAAAATTTCCGTAGGACAATTGTTAATTTAGCTAACTAATTACCATGGTTATTATAAGCAATTGGTATAAAACCAAGAGAAATTTGAGCAGTTTAAACCATCCCTTACATCTTTCATCTGAGTTTTCACTTCCCCTTGGGACAGTCTGGCTTTGGTAAGTAAGCCAAAAGTAAGTAAGCTACTCCCTTAATTAACCAAAAGCAAAAGTAACTTGTTTCTTTTCCTAAGAATCACTTCTCTGCTCATACCTCAGGGCTTTTGTGCCTTTAGTTAATTTTATAGTTAATTAAGATGCTGGATTCCCCATAGGCAACCATTTTTCTTCACAAAGTGGTTAATTCTTACAGTTTGCATCCTTTTTAGAACAAAGAAATGTTAAGTAATTATATCAGTAAACAACCCTCATCAAAGTGACTGAACATATAGCATATGAGTTTGGAATCGACACCATGAGCTATTCCACATTGAGGAGGCAAGTACTTAAAGGCAAGAGCACATTATTCAGTCAAACAGATTAGGGTTGGAATTTTAGCTGTGCCATTTATCTGTTGTTTAATCTTCAGTTTTCTCATAGGTAAGAACAAGGTAAAGTTACCTACTGCTCCTGGTCCTTCTAATGCTTAAAAATTACCAGGTATTTGAAATGACCTTTCATCACAGTCTACTGACACAGTGTGGCCACTGCTTCCCAGCTCACCATGCATCCTATTACTTTCTTGAAAGGCCTCATCTTCTTTGTCCACTGAGACAGGGTCTGAGCAGTAAGTGGCAATGTTCTCATTGATATGCCAGCTAAGATTCTCATCTACCACACTGAAGAGCAGGAAGAAAGAATTATCCACATCTTGCCGCCGAAGAGGGGAGTTCCCATCCAGGGTTCCTAGTACAAATAAGAAAGTTGTCATTGAGAACCTCCTGTCCTTAGCAACAGTAAACTGCAAGGAATACTCATAAGAAAGAAATAGGAAGAGAGGCAGTCTTAAGAGTCTGTCAGTAACAGAAAATCAGATGGAGACTTCTTCAACCAGGGCCTTAAAATGACCACACTTCTTGCAACACCTAGGTCTTCAGGCCTGAATACCTTAAACATACCCTGTTTCCAACCACTTTCACAATCCTTCCCAAATCTTGATAGCTACACTTCCAATCTTATCCAAACTTAAACTCTTACCATATATCTTATGTTTATACTAGAGGCCTGGTGCATGAAAATTCATGCACTGGAGGGGATTCCCTCAGCCTGGCTTGCCCACCCTCACAGTCCAGGTGACCCAGCTATCAGGGGAAGGTAATGCCCCATCACATATCTGCTGCTGCCACTGCTGTCAGTGCAAGCCTCAGCTGGCCTTGGTTACCTGAGCCTTGGGCAGCCCTGGATGGCTGGGAAGCCATGATCAAGGCTTGCCTGCACCTCAGGCTGGCCCTGGGAGGCTAGGGGGCTGAGGAGACTGGCGTTCTCCAGAGGCAGGCACACAGAGTGCCTGCTGCCCCAGCGGGGCTGAGGGGACTGGGCGCTGCCATCTTGTGGCTGTGGGTGCCGCCATCTTTGAAGGTGTGGCAGCCAATTAGCATATTCCCTCTTTATTGGCTGTGGGTGCTGCCATCTTTGAAGGGGTGGCAGTCAATTAGCTTATTCCCTCCTTATTGGCTGTGGGTGCTGCCATCTTTGAAGGGGTGGCAGTCAATTAGCATATTCCCTCCTTATTGGCTGTGGTCGCTGCCATACTTGAGGGTGGGACAGTCAATTAACATATCCCCTCCTTATTGGCTGTGGTCACTGCCATCTTTGCAACAGTGTGAGGGTCAATTAGCACATTTCCTCTTTATTAGCTAGGATGACCTGACTCCCATAATTACTAATTCAAGTTTTTTAAGTGATTAGAAAAAAAATTTTTTTAAGTAGAAAAGGGTTTTTTTTGTTAGGAAAACTAAGGTAATAAAATAGAAAAAAAATAGTGAAAAGGGAGTTTTCCATTGTTTATTCCTGATAAACATTGGTTCTGAATTATCATTCCTCAGGCTGCTGCTTAATAAATAGGTAGTTCAACTATATCACTGTTTTCTATAGATATCCAAAATTGCACCTCATAGCTCACTCTTGGGGCCTGTACCTCTTTTACAAGTGATAAGGGGTCCAATGAGGCCAGTTGCAATATCTCGTGGAGCATCTACATGAGAATGGTAGATCCAGGTGAGGCATGCTGGGTCAGCATCAGTGGGTGCATGGCTTTCTGGAATGGTCCAGTTGTAGATATGGCTGCCTCCCGGGGGAACAGAGTCATCAGCTTTCAGCAGACCAGAGGAGCCATCTGGGTATAGGGAGCCTAGAAAATGAAATTGCACATCTCAGTCCCAGGGTGAGTGAGACAGAGCCTAGACAATTTAGAAGTGAAGAGAAGGCTGACGTATGAGACATCTAGGTCCAGTCTTGTGGAAAAGGTAAAGTTCTAAGGTCCAGCACAGTGTTCCTCAAAACCTGAGGAGGGCACAGATTCAGGTGATATCTAGCCAAAGAACCCCAAGTCTCACATCAACAAAGGGTGGAGATGTGGCAGTCCCTGGGGAAAGAGCTACGGCTACAAAAACTGCTCCACATCCTGGTCTAGTAGTACCCTAGTGCAAAGCCAGGGGCATGGAGGCATGGGAGGAGACAGAATTCCTTCCCTTCAAGCACCCACTTTAGAAAACAATCACAGAATTTCATTTTAAAGGCAACTTAATGATCAGTTGGCCCACTTCCCCATTTTATGGAAGAGAAAACTGAAGAAAAGTAACTGGCCAATGGTCATACAGAGAGAATTAGTGGCTAAGTCAGGAGCTTCTGACTTCTCTCTCTATTCTCCTCAGTTACTTTTGTGTCTGTATTATAGGCCACTGGGCCTGGGATAGTGAGAGATACAAATAAGTAAACTGAACTAACTCTTTTTTTTTTTTGCTGTTAATCCTCACCCAACGATATTTTCCCATTGATTTTTAGAGAGAGGGTAGAAGGGAGGGAGGAAGGGAGGAAGGGAGGAAAAGAGAGAGAGGAGGAGAGGGAGGAAGGGAGGAAGGGAGGAAAAGAGAGAGAGAGAGAGAGAGAGAGAGAGAGAGAGAGAGAGAGAGAGTTGAAAGAGACACATTGATTGGTTGCCTTCAGCATGTTCAGGGGATAGAGCCTGCAACTGAGGTACGTGCCCTTGACCGGAAGTGAACCCAGGAGCCTTCAGTCTATTGGCAGATGCTCTATCCACTGATGCAAACCAGCTAGAGCTGAACTAACTCTTAAGGGGGAAAAAATGGCCTTTTGGAAGACTGACCCTAGAATAACGCTCCCTTATATTCAGACCACACTCTTCTCTTTTCAAAACACAAATATTTTATGGAATGTCATTTAAGTAATTCTTCCTGATAAAAGGCAGATTTTTACATTAAAAATTTTTCTATTACAGTCGACATTCAATGATATGTTAGTTTCAAGTGTACAATATAGTGGTTAGACATTTATATAACTTACATAGTGATTCCCCCTGCAATATTTCCAGTACCCACCTGATACCATACAGTTATTATAATACTAGAGGCCAGGTGCACAAAAATTTGTCCTTAGCCCGGACAATGCCCTCCTGCAGTGTGGGACCCCTTGGAGGATGTCCACCCCAGTGGGCACCCCCGCTCCCTGGGAGGATCAGGCCCAAGCTGGCAGTCAGACATCCATCTGGCAGCCTGGCAGCCCTTGGGGGATGTCCACTTGCCAGCGGGGAGCAGCTTGGCTTCCTCCATCACTGGAGCAAGCAAGCCTCCTGCTCGCTCCAGCTCCTTGGCTGGGTTAATTTGCATATAGTCGCTCTGATTGGCTGGTGGGCATGGCTTAAGGCATAGTGAAAGTACAGTCAATTTGCATGTTTGTCTTTTATTAGTATAAGATTATTAACTATATTTCCTATACTGTACTTTACATCCTTGTGACTATTTTGAAACTTCAAATTTGTGCTTCTTAATCCCTTCAATCTTTCCACCCACTTCCCCCAAACACCCTGCCATCTGGCAACCATCAGTTTGTTCTCTGTATCTGTCATAGAAAAAAAACAGAAACAAACTCATTGATAAAGGGCAGATTGAATCTCCACATTTCTAATGAAGAACCCAAGGCCAAGAGAGGAACAATGACTTGCCCAAAGTCACACATATGAATAGCAGAACTGATAAGAGTACTCACTTATGTTTACTCTGAGAAGAGTCCCTGCTTCCTCAGATCAATAAGGGAGAAAAGACTGTCCTTGTTTCCAACTCCTCTCTTTCATATAGCAGAGAAGGAAAAGTGATAGTTATGGGCAGGAGAAAGAAAGGGTGGGCTGGTTTACCTTCTGAATCCTTCTCATAGAAAACACCATGGGGGTGGATGGTATAGGGACGAGTGGCAAAATTCTTCAGGTGGATAAGGATGACATCTCCCACCTCAGCCTGCAGCACTGGCCCCAGGAAACCCATCCAGGTAGGCTGGGCCATTTCATGCATATATGAACTGTCACTGTATTCTTTGTAGATGGTCTTCTTGTAGCTGCTCCCTATCCGGTTCTTGTCAGACTTTAGGAAGCTGGAAGCTACTCTGGGGAAAAAAGAGTCACAATTTTGCCACAATTTTCAAACCTCTGGAGGGTTATTTTCCAGAGGAGGCTGACAAAAAAGTGTCCATCTTTGTCTAAGGCAAAACAAGAGGAAATGGGAAGTACTAATCAAAACATAAAAGCTTTAAGTTAGTTTGTTTGACAATGGGAAGTATTAAATGAAAACAGATCAAATTCCTGATATTTGAACACTTTTATGTTAAAAATGGCAATTTCACGTGTTTCAATCTAATATCCTATATAATAAAAGGCTAATATGCAAATTGTCCCCTTGACTGGGAGTTCAACTGGGAGTTCAACCAGGGGGTGGGGCCCCCCCAGCTGTCCTGGCCCGATCAGCCCCAATTGGGGCCAGCTGGCCAGACTCCACCAGTGCACGAATTCATACGCTGGGCCTCTAGTATAGTAATAAGGAAGCAATCAAGGATTGGTTATTTTTAAGTGATCAACTCCCTACCTCTGTTGCCTGATTTAGCATTGCCCTGCCATGTATGAGAGGTTTTATAAAGTAGTGGTTAAGTGCTTAAACTCTGGAGCTGGGATGTTTCAATTAAATGCCGATATTGCCACTTCCAAATCTGTGGACTTTGACCAAGTTACTTAACTTCTCTGTGTACAATTTCCCCATCTGTACAATGGAAATAATCACAGTACCAATCTTGGACAGGGTTGTTGGTGACTAAAATAATTAATATACATAAAGAGCTTAGGACAGTGCCTGGGAAATAGTAAAAGCTTAATAGATATTAACTATTACTTCAAACTATTGGAGATGGGCAATAACAAGGTTATCCCTCAAGGATAATTTTAAAACAAAGACTGTGACTTCAAAATTAGATGGATAAAAAGATGGTTTGTCATAAAAGACAGCTGTTTTTCATACTCTAATTCTTCCCAGAGAGCTCTGAAGTGTTATAGCTAACTTTGGAATTCTCTAAGATCAAGAAAGGTTAATCCTGTGCTACCTGTGAGAGACAAAATGGTGAGAAGAATATCATTTTTTTGCACCTACATTACCCAGGTTAAAATCCTAGGTCTTCCATTTACTAGCTGTGGGACTTGAGCAACTTACTTGATATCCCTGACCCTCAGCTTTCTTGTCTAAAAGATGAGGATATTCAGACTCACCTCCTAGAGCTTTTATAAGAATTAGATGACACTAAGTATGTAAATTTCTAGTATGACCCTATGTAAGTGAGAGCTATTACTGATCTTTCTTTGATTCTAATACTTACCTTATTTTTTTAAAATCATTTTACATATCTGAAATTAGTACAGTTCTATTGAAATATGGGAGATTAGTTCCACATACACATCTTACAAACACTGTGTTTCTTTTTTTTAAAGCTAAACAACTATTATTAAAACAGCATTGTGGATATCATCTTAACATCAAGGGAATATGGAATTACCATTAAGACCCTAAAATGCTGAGGCACCTCAGTGTGAAAAAGCAGACTCCATATAGAATGCTGACTCTTGAGTCAACTAGCCTATTCTCAGCAAACATGCCACTAGGTGTATGGTTCAAAGATATCAGGAGCTGCTGCTACCACACCTGGGAAAAGGTCTTCAAGAGGTTACCTTCTGACCTCAAGGGTGCTCCCTCCCCCACTCCAGCTCTAATTTCGCAAGAGATTAAACCTACGTGTCACTGTCCAGAGGCTGGTTCGTGATGACATTTCTTCCTTTGGGAGCATAGTTCCACTCCACGTCCTGGATGCCCAGGTAGTAGACTCGAGTAGCCCCATCAGTCGGTTGGGGCCACAAGGGTTGCATGAACAGCAGAGCCCAGAGGAGATGGCCTGGATCCATGGCCCACATTACTCTGGGAAACAGGCAAATGAATAGCTGCTGGTATGAAAGAAAGAGAACAAAGGGGCTTTGCATGTGTCTGGAAAACTAAAGAGGCAAGAGTCAGATGGAGTGACTGAGGAAGCAAGAATGAATTCCCCAGAATCTATACCTTATCTGATTACTTTCAGTTCAACAAGTATTCAATGATCTCTACACATTGGACTTTGGAGGGAAAAGTTAAACAGTCACTTATATGGATAATTATGCATCATTTCCTTCAGAAGAGAAATCTGGATCTAGTTCCTTCAGCTGTGCAGAAGTAAGAATTATTCTGGCACAAGAATCAGGAAACAGGCACCAAAAACCTGATTGTGCCACTGAATCACTCAGTACCTGAATCAAGTCAGTAATTCTCCCTATGTCTTTGTTTTCATTGCTGCCACCTTCTATCCCCTATGAATTGTATTTTAAAAACAAATGAGAATTCACCAAAAACACATTTACTAGAAAATTAATAGACCCAAGATGGAAACAACCAAAATGTCTATGAACACTAGAATGGATGAGTAAATTGTATTTTATTTATACAATGGAATTTTACATAACAATGATATGAACAAACTACAATAACACTTGAAAATGTAGATGCCTCTCATGAGCATAATGTTGCAGAAATAAATCGGACAAAGAATACTTACTCTATTATTTCATTTATATAAAGTACAAAATCCAGCAAAATTAATGTATGGTGCTAGAAACCAACATAGTGTTTGCCCTTTAGGTAGGGATCAGTGACTGGGAAGATGAGGAATGCTTTTAAGTAATGTTCTGTTTCTTGATCTACATACTGGTTACATGAGTGTGTTCAGTTTGTGAAAGTATATAGAGCTATGAACTTAGCATTCATGTGCTTTATTGCATGTGAATAGCAAAAAGTAAAAAATAAAACAAATGAGAATATGTAAGGGAAATATTAACTTATCAAAATGTTCTCTGCTGGTTCTCAGTTATGCACAAACTCATTTCATGTGTCCAATCATGAATCAGAGTCAGAATTAAGCCTCCAGCCTCTCATTCCAGTACACCAGCCAGGTTAGACTTCTTGGGGCTACAGTCAAACTTAGAAACACAGACAATATAACATAAATACACATATACATATACTTGCATACACGTAGTAGGCACATTCAACCTTATCTAAATGCAGAGCTGTACACACTTGCATCCACATATAGAAATACATTGTCACACAGAGCCTTTTACATTTTCAGAATAATAACAATAATAAAAAAATATTTATTGCCGAAACCGGTTTGGCTCAGTGGATAGAGCGTCAGCCTGTGGACTGAAAGGTCCCAGGTCCAATTCCGGTCAAGGGCATGTACCTGGGTTGCGGGCACATCC